TTATTATTATGGCCAATAAGCAAAATAAAATGAATGAGAGTTAAAAGATGCACGTGCTGCACTCAGTCACAACTCACCAAACTCTCCGAGTCTGGGCATCAACATCCCCGCTCTGATCCATGGCTCCAGGGCCAGATTCGTGCCCCCCTGCATCTGCTCTGTATAGGGCTGGAGCAGCTGCGTAAAGCTGGGGTACACCAAGGCGGGGGGCTGGCTTCCGAGGGCCGCCAGTGGATTCGCGGACTCTACAGGGTACGACCGGATGAGACCTGCTTGGTGCAGAGCACCGAGTCCTGACTGGGACAGGCTGAAGACTTGGGGTTTGGACAGGACGTCTGGCTGGACCGAGGGAGGGTTTGTTTGAGGGGAGGTAGCCTCTGAGGCGCAGGTTGACGCTGGATCTGGACTCCTGCTGTAAAACAGCCCCGGGGACGCGCGCTCTCTGTCGGTCCTTGGCGCTGCGTCATGCGCCAGGAGCGCGTCGATGCGAAAGTTTTTAGATTTCTCCATGGAGACAATCATTCTGCCCCAAGATTATACTAAAATTACTTTACGTGTTAAAACAAAACTCAATAAATATTTATGGCTTCTAATTCCTGATAATAATTTTAAAAAATGATCCAAGTTCCTGAACTTATTAACGCAAACTGCTCACGTGTCCTTCCTTGTGAAAGAAATGTCTTTCAGATTCAGCATCCTGCCTAAAACCCTCCTTGCCCTCCCCAGCTGTGAAAGAAAAATTACTCATAGACAATAGGGCAATAAAATCTGCTCCACTATGATTGGTCAGAATCCTGCAGCACGGGGTCAGACAACGAGAGCGAAGCGTCAAYTGTCTGTCTTTGTTAGCAAAATATCTCATGAATAACTGGACGGATTTTAATCAAACTTGCAGAAAACAATCACTGGGTGAAAAGCTATGATTGGAATCAATTAAACTGAAAATGATCGTCACAATTAGCTCTAACTCTGTCCAGCAGCTATGAGTTGAACTTTGGTGTGGTAGTAGCTGAGAGTCATTCTTCTCCTGGGGTTTGGTGAATAAAAACACTAAAAGTTAATGAGTRAAATGCATTGCTTTATTGTTTGCATATCACCTTCACACCTTTTATTTTCTTTCAATCTCTTTTCCTCTTTATTCTTGTTTATATTTGATATCCATTATTTCATTTATTGCAACTTTGCGTGACATTATTGTGTGGTTTTCTCACAAGCTCTATTATATTGCACCTTCAGTTTGTGAGGCAGGCAAACACTCTTGAAATATATATAGCTGTAATTACCTCACCTTTGATGATAAAATTAATCATCATCTAATTCTTCATTAAACTTTATTACTTTACTAAGGCTGACAGAAACATAACCGCTGTTATCAGCAGCCGCTGGCTGATTGCGGTCATCACCACACCATGGAGCACATAAAAGGGCAGTAAAATGACAGAAAGCAAACTTATTTTCTCTCCTTGCAGGACCAGGACAATACACAAAGTGTGAACAGGTGACACCAAATGCTGCAATGTTGTTTTTTTAGTGTTTTTCTTCTCTCTTTTTAAGACCAGAAAATAAATATTGCAGCATAACTGATGCGGCTTTGAAGGAGAAAGTGTTGCATGTCCTTTAGGAAAGACAAAAAAAAAAAAAAAACCCTCAATGACAGTTTCAGTAATTAAACTTCACTTATTGTGTAAATGTACATCTCCTGCTGCTATCATCAGTGGTGATTTCCTGCTGGATTTTACAGGACTGATAAGAGGTGRTCATATACCTGGGAAAACAGACCTTCTCATGTCAAAGACAAACACAGAAACACCTGCTGCACTGAGTGAACTAATCAACAAGTGTGGGTGAAAGTGCACATGTGTGTACTGGCATGTGGACATGTCCAAATATCCTGAAAACATGAATTAAATTATTATTTTTATTTAGCAAAAAACTTGGATTTATACAACAAAGGGGTTTTAATTTTTACAGATGAGAGTGGCAGTCAGCCATTAGGGAGAGATAATAGTGTTGTTGTTAAATGGGTACCAGGATATACTGGCATTAAAGATAGATAGATAGATAGATAGATAGATAGATAGATAGATAGATAGATAGATAGATAG